TACTTTGAACAATAACCAGTAATAAAATCTAGTATCTAAAATATATTTATGCAGGCAAAAAAGCCAATTACTTTTTATGAAGATACCTGACACGGCTGTTCTATAACATGATTGCATTTTGTACAAGAAATTATATCATGTAGTTTAGTACCTACAACTTATAATAATGACAGTAAATGTGTTATTAAACACGTTTTAAATATTCCCTTGGATACAACAAAGCAACAATATTTTGTCCATTTTATAAAGGTTTTGTTATATGTGCTATATAGTATATAGCTTATCACATACCGTAGGTAGGAACCGATCGAATAATATGATGAAACCTATTGTAAAGAATACGCGCGATATATACCTATTGTAAAGATACGAATATTGAAAATAAGACGCGTGCAGGGGATCCCTACAGCATGCTGGCGGTAAAAGCAAGAAGATGGATTGCCCTTACATGGACCATTGCATTGCAGTCATGTGCTTACATGGTAAAATAAATACTGTGTGTGGTTTTGTTGCGGTGATTGGTGAGACTGTTATTTTATAAATAATTTGAATTTTTATGATTCAATATATGTACTAGCTTTACTTTTACTTTTTTATTTTTATTTTTAATTGGTATAACATTTAGAACATTGTTGTAACTAGAACAATAAAAACCATATGGACTTATGTTAGATATATAAATTATTATTTTTATTAGTTGAACGAGCCAATATAATATTTAAGTATATGCCTTCCCGCGACTAGTTGTTATTAAATTAAATTATAATAGGTGACGGCAAAATTTCTTTATTTAATAACTGTTATGTTGGCTATCTAAAGAATAATATGTACTTAAAATGATTCTGATATAAAAATAAAATACAACAGTGGCGCTACAACCTTTTTAAGTCTGGGCATCAGATTTATGTAACTTTTCCATGATCATTTGTCAATCTAATGGGAAGTAGGTGATCAGCGTCCTGTGACACACGCCATCGACTTTTTGGGTCTAAGTTGGGCAAGTCGGTTTCCTCACGATGTTTTCCTACCTTGGGGTCTCAAAAAAAGAAAGTTCATTGAGGCAAAGCCGAGGATCGAACCTACGACCTCAGGGATGAGAGTCGCTGAAGTCACTAGACCACCATTGCTGTTTCTGATATAAGCCGTACATTTATTCACTGATGCTTGTAATAGCTGATATCTATTAAACTACAATTAAAGATCGCTTTCAAATGCATACGTTCTTTAAATTCCATCGATAAATCAATTGCCAATAGAATTCTCAGGTGTCCGATATCACGTAACCATTGCTTATATTACAACTCAATTCATAATCGGAATTGATGCAATGACATGTTCCAGGAAATACCTGTATCGGTTTACAAGTTGAAGCACTTGTAATAAGAAAAATAAGTCCCGGACTAACAAATTTCACCAAGTTTATGACGCCGTGAAATTTTAAATACAACGAAAATATACATATTTTGCGAAAATTTCACAATCCTTGACAAAAAAACTGAAAAAGGAACCTACCAATTACCATCCGTTGGTAAATTGTAATTTAATAGTGACATTTTCGAGCTTACGTTTCTGTACAAAATATTTTTTTGATGGCCGATTTGTAAAAATTAAACACGAAAAAGATTTTGTCCACTTAACATCACTCCTGATACGGAAGTACGCCTGAGGCAAAAAGGTGCTTAAATGACAGGAAAACGCCCAAATATCGAAGTCCTTTGACATTTGTTTTTTAAGTATGTCTAATTATACATTAGCGACTTCAAAGGATTATTTATGTCGTAGGAGCTGAATACGAAGTCCACATTGGAATAGAGCCAAAAATCTACTAATGCATGAAACCCGAATGGCGGTTGGTTTGTTTATTACTAGATTGTATCGATTTTAAGGTCCCCTATTAATCGACACAATTTAAAGCTCGAAGCTTTAAAAGCTTCTATTCTACAAAAATGTAGTCTTTGGGTAATTGATGGACCTTGAGGTTAACAATATTTTAGTATTTAACGAGAGTATTATTTTCGTATTTAAAAGTAAACTTTCCTTTATTAATAAAAATCATCAAATAAAGCCATCAACCGTAAATTTTGTTTCATTCTTTTATAATCAATGAAAAGTCAAACGCCTGTCCGCCTCTCTGAAGGTTTTGGAATGAATAATAGAGCAGTGATGGCCTAGTGGCTTCAGCGTGCAACTCTCATCCCTGAGGCCGTAGGTTCGATCCCAGGCTGTGCACCAATGGACTTTCTATGAGCGCACTTAACACGAACTTAGTTCGAACGGTGAAGGAAAACATCGTCAAACCAGGCTTTCCTTAGACCCAAACAATCGACGGCGTGTTTCAGGCACAGGAGACTGATCATCTACTTGCCTATTAGATTGACAAATGATCATAAAACAGATACAGAAATTTGAAGCCCAAAGGGCTACATTCTTTACTAATTTGTTTTATAATTTAAATTACGTACATTCATTGGATTCTATTAATATACTTAGAACTTAATTTCTAAAACTGACCTGTACGATATCCAGCATTGGACAGGTAGGTTGCGAAGGTGTTAGTTTCATGCTTGGCTTGCCACATCGGAGAAGAACAGTTGTCATTGTTGGTAAACACGTTGTGGTTATGGACGTAGATTCCAGTGAGCAGGGAACTCCTGAAGATAAAGAAATAGGTGTTTAAGCTGCTGCTAAAGTAACTAAGCACCTGTAGATAATAATCCACTAATTAAAATATAATATGTAACTTAAAATGAAACGATATCACGATTCGTTCGTTCGTTTAATTTCACGTTTTGGTCGCAATTGGTCGAAGCGTTTTCTTCGACCGGATAGGATCGTGTCGAGTGCCTGTGATTGGACTAGATGAATTAATCAAACTATACACAACATCTTTCGGTTTACATTATTATCCGTTAGACTATATCTGCCAGAAAAACTGAACTGTAACTGGTTGATTTAAAAGCGAAAGCTAACTATCGTTGAGAACCAGACCGAATTATAAATGCCTTTCCGACAACATATTTATTTGAACCAATGGGTTAAAATAAATGATACGGTTCGCAATTGCTACTGTAAAAGATTTAGTATGTTTAAATAACTATTTAGAAATAACATACCGTGATGGACAGCACATTGGCGTAGTCGTGTAGGCGTGACGAAACTCCGCACCGGCACTTCTTATTGCTTTCATTGTACGTGGCATAAAATTTAAACTGCCGAGCTCCACATCTTGATCATCAGTCAGAATTAAAATGATATTAGGCTTTTTCTCTCTCGGCTGTGGGTATGGAATAAAACCCCCGTTTTGCCATTTATTTGCGGATTTTGGTTTAAATCGCGTGGTGTTTTCTTTTAGTGGCGTTCTTTCCGGGGTTTTGTGGAGTGGTTTGCGCCTGTCAGAAGCCTTTTCGGTTGTGGCCTTTGCGTGTTTCTCTTTTCTTTTCTCATTTTTAAGGTTGAAGGGATCTGTTCTGTTGACATCCTCGGTAGAGTCTGAGCCCTTTCGGCGATCACGTCTCACTTCTTGCTCCCAAAATCTACGCCTGTCTCCACGTAACCTTGAACTATTTCTGTGTCTCAGGTACCTTCTTTCAGGTAAATCCGTTAACGTCCCATTAAATGTAGTCCGGTTTCTATTGTTTTCTTTATTTCTTAACTCTCTGGCCCTTGACGTGTCATCTTCAAGGGAATCTCTCTTCGCAGAAATCAAGAGGAAATTCCATGTAAGAAGGATGGATATTATTTTGAAATTCATTTTTAATTTCTCTATGGACGATCTTTATTTGTCTATGGAAATATTAAAGCTGATGTTAAATCTTCATGTTGTCATAGATTGAGACTGCCAATAGAATTTTTTGAATTCTAGCCTCATTTTGTGTCTGTACCTGAAACCAAAACAAACATATATTAGTTATTAAAAACTTAAACTTACCACCTACTTATTGAGTAATAGAAAAAAGGCAATCGCGAGCCGTCTCTCATTCTTTTAAAATTACGCAAAACTATGATTGCATCACAAAAGATGCGGACGATAAACTTGCATGGAAAAAATTTAGTCTAAAATTTCAACCCGAAGCAATTACCTATAGTAATTCCCGCAATGTATAATGCCATTTAGTACCAACAAAGCATCGTTATTTAAAACATAATATATTTACATCGTAATATACCGTAAAACAAATTATGCAAAGCGAGTCCTATTTATTATCCACGCCATTCAATATCAGGAGAATTGAGAGGAAAGCTTTATAGCAATCGGAGGGTCAATCAGGGATTGCTTTCAAGTAAATTAAAACTTTGAGTAGTAACGAGTACACTCCTAAGCGAACTAAGTAATTTCCTTTCCCGTTCATTCCTAAAACGTATTTACAGGATTATTTACTTTGATTTAAAATGTGCTTTGCATTTTCTTTTTATAACTAATCTTTCCACGGCCTTAGAACATACTGTTAGTACAGGAAGTACTTTGGGTATCGTATTGTTAGCAAGTTTTTTATACATTTCCGACCGATTACTAAAATTCATTCACCATTTGATATACACTTATACTGGATAATATTTAAAAAAACAATGACTAAACCCTTTTTGGTCTCCAATTTTGGTTTGTTTTATTTTAAATTTCAAGTAGGTCTTCTGCGTCTGAACTCTGAAACAAGCCGTCGACTTTTTGAGTGTAAGGCTACGTTACAATGTTTTCCTTCACCGTATGAGCGAATGTTAATTTCCCATAGACAAAGTCTACATTGAGTCTACAAGGGTGGGTGCCGATCACTGGCCAACACTGTTGAATAAGATATGCCATATTTATTTCCAACATATAAATGTCCAACCGTGCTATGCCTTTAAAAACTGCCGTTTAAAGTCAGAAAAACCACTGATTAAAAGATAAAAGAGCAACTACATTTAAGTTTTTATATTTGCAAGCTGTATTCGCATATGTTTACACATACAATTTTAACCCGAGTAACAAAAGCAGTTACTACTCTAGACTCTCTAAAACTGTAAACAAAGGTATATTGTTTTATGAAATGTTGTTTATGTTTATGCTAAGACGATATTAGCATTAGGCTAATCCTATTTCTGATCTAGCAAAACATCGGCTCATTTCAACGAAAGTTCATTGAACTCTGGAGCAATTAGTAGTATAGAAAATTCCTATTTATTATTTATTGGTGGTTATACTTAATTTCGTAAACATTGGACGTGATAATTGTTTATCAATACAAAAAGAGTCACTGTTTATTCACATTAGTAATAATAATTTATACAATTTATTTCTCCTTGTCCTTTCTTTAATTTACATAATAATTAGGTATTATTATTATTTACATGTGCGATTTGCCGCGACCTGCTTGCTGTGTAATAACGCGAAAGCTTGTATGCCCGCTGACTCATAAAAACATCTTCAAAATTATTAAAATCGTAACAATCCGTCGCCAGTAATACAAACATTCCCCACACCTTTAGCACACATACACGATACAACTTTGTTGCATAATATTTATAAACTTCACAATGCTCAGATCAGAATTTTGTATATTAATTCAGTATAAAATCTCTCGTTATATCTCCGATATTGGTGTATGAAACCCACACTTTAATTACGTAATATGAAGTTATAATACGAGGTAAAATAAACTTCGTGAACAAGACTGGAATTTTAGTGAAACTTCTCGCGAAAATCTCAAGTTACGGTAACGATCATTATAAATTAGAAGTTAATCACCGCCCGACGAAGTTTTCCCGTCAAGTTCCATGTAAATCTCCATAATGACTAATGTTATTCTCTAAATTAACGAAGCGTCTAAGTTGTGGCTTTTCAAGCTTTCGCATTAATTAAAACGAAGAAACCGTATCAGTTGGAAGCCAAAAAAAATCATAGGTATTACGAATTTTATTCATACTTTAAGTGACAGTCACATTGGTCACATTTATTAATATAGCATAATATTACAAACTGCAACAATCTTCTGAGTAGATGAGAAATACATTACGTCATTAAATTACGTTACGTAAAACCGTATAGGAATGGTTCCTTTGTAACGTAATTTTGTATAAAGTTGTATACTTTTTTGTATACAGTTGATATGAACATATTATTTTAAAACAACAAATGAATAAAAAAAATGTTTAATTGGCAACGAACCATAACGACGCCAAGAAAGCTGGAATGACGTGGGGTGAATTTAAAAGCGCTGCCCAAGACTGGACTGGACATAGGACCTTAAATCAAGTGAGTCAAGAAGACTTCAATATAAGGTTAATATATTTATATTTTATTCACTGTGTATCATCCGACTCCGTGACTTAGTATTAAATGGAGTACTGGTCTTAGATATCCAGGTCTTAATCGATTCCCAGTGAAACAAAATTGTTTCGGGTTAGTGGACGAAGTCTCATCACGTAGGGGTAAGTTTGTTATTGTAAATTATTTCGCCATCATCATGGACATTTTTCCGATCCACTAGAAGTATAAAAGCGTTTGCTATAGCAAAGCTTAAACGCATTTCCGCAGGCACGAGATTGGCTTCATAGTCGATGTATCACGAACACTTAGAAGGAAATTTGAAGACAAAGGAATTAATGCTTTCTAAGGATACCGGGTGCGAATTCCGTGAGCTTACATAAATTTATAATTAAAAGCCCTCGCAATTTACAAACTGAATATACTTTTTAATGAGCTGTTATACCATTATAAAATGCCAACCCAGACTAATGAATTTTTGTATAATACACTACTATACAAACTTTGTGTTTTAATATTGTTAATAAGTGAGTGGTATTCTTTTTACCTTTCCTGTGGAGGGATAGTATCTCCGGGAAATAACTGTGAGTTTTATAGATTTTTTACGCTCTCGATTTGTTTATTAGTCCATTGAAATGTTACATTTGTAAAAAAACCGCGCCTACGGACTCTACCTCATAGGTGGCAGGGAAAAGAGTCAGTAATAAATAAGTAAAATTTTTGGAATTTAACAAAAGTTTTCGAAAATTCAAATTACAAAATACTAAACAAAATTGATTTTATAGTGTGAGGGGAGCAACTATGGATATTCAGACCTAGCTCGTTTATCAGAATGCTTAATCTGGACATCGGTGAGCTTTGACCAAAACCCGTTCTACGGAAAGAAGGGACAAATGGAATAATGGGATGTCTGGGGTATCGAGATTTCCCCGGCTGAGACGAACATCGATGTGATGAGCATTTGGTGTTGTGCTTAGGTCTTGGGTGTTTAAATATGTATTTATATGTCTATCTATATATAATATGTATGTATATCCGTTGCGTAGTACCCATAACACAAGCTTCACCAGCTTAGCATGGGACTAGGTCAATTGGTGTGAATTGGTGTGAATCGAGAGGGTACACGAAACTTAAATTTAGATAGAAGTTTCAGGCAATCAACCTGATTATTATATCTATATCTTAACTGCAAACGATATATCAATTGATTTTCTGCGAGCCTGGTTTCGTACGTTGGCAACTTTTTTTTCGAGATGCCACTGGAGAAAAGCAGATGCCGTAGTAACCTCTAATGTACTCTCTCGAGTCGTAGCATATGCGTCGCATAATGCGGCCTCCGACCGACCCAGGCTGCGTTGGTGGGGGATGGAGTTGTCATGGACCTCGAAACAATAGGGGTTCGCAATTGGACGTCGGAAGCTTACCATGGCGAAGTGCACTTGAGGAGGCTAAGGCCCACAAGGGGCTGTATAACCATTGATGATGATGATGAATTGATTTATAATGTTTAAGCAATAAAAAAATTAAAAAGATAAAAAAAAGCAAAAAGGTTAGTCGACATCAGAGGAGACCGAAGAGCGGGCAGCTACCTCGGACAAAGAATAAGTCTAGCTATTCAAAGGGGGAACGCTGCCAGGATCTTCGGAACCTTGCCTAAAGTGACTCCTTCTAGTAATATATTTTAGTTATTATATTTTAAGGTAAGTTATTGTTTTTTTAGAAAATTGTTAATAATTAAGTATAATATATATATATATGTATGTTACTAAAAAAATGTTGTATATAACGTTAAAGTATCAAAGAACTCTAGCGCGTTTTAGAATGTAAAAAGATAAAAGACAATATTATACACCGATTCATTTGTCATACCAGAATAGGTTTACTACATCAACAGTGTCATTAAAAGGATGTTAAAGATATAATTTGTAGCTATCATTCCAATTATTGGATGTGCTGTTGACTCTAAAGTTGATTAAAACAAGCGCATCGTGTGACACGCTGAATTAGTGACAAGTTACGAGCGCTGGACTCAAATAACGTCCTATTTTATTTGTTCACTTATCAACTTTGCATGGGAATTTAAATTGAGCTAGCAGTACATTCGTTCATTTAGGGTTAACGGTTATAAATGTAAAGGATTTGTTCATTTTACATTGAATATTAAATAGATTTTTTGTTAAAATTGTCCTAATAAATCAGCAAAATTAAATATTTTTAAAGGAAGTTCAAAAGTGTTGTTAATAAGTTAGTGAAAATCTCCTTCGGTTTGTTTTTAGTCGGCTAATATTGTAGAGCAGCGTTGGCGTAGTGGCTTTAGCGTGCGATTCTCATTCTTGTGGTTGTAGGCTCGATCCCCGCACTAATGGACTTTCTTTCTTTGAAAACATTCGCTCAAACTGTGAAGGTGATCGTGAGGAAACCGGTTTGGCTTAGACCCAAAAGGTCGACGGCGTGTGTCAGGCACAGGAGGCTGATAACCATACTCGCCTATTAGATTGACCTATTAGTAT